GAAACTGAACAAAACCAGTATTTATTTACTAATTTTTACTTAGGCAGAACAAGCCAGCAAAAATGACGCTAGTTGACTTGTATGTGTTCTAAGGATACTGCAAGTTATTCATTACATCAATTACTGTTTAATTTACACAGGTTAGTAAATGTGCCGTATACCCACATCAGGTTTGTATAGTGAGCTTGAAAAATATGTATGTACGCACTACTGGTCTTTCAAGTGATGTAGGACTGGAGATAAGCTTAATAATATCATCCTGTGTGTGTGAACATAGGTTTTAGTGTCTGCTATGGAAGGTCTAGTTCAGTCATTCTCTCTCTCTCTTTTTTTTTTTTTTTCTTTCCCCCTTCCACCCCCTTGCTTCTGAACTCCTTTAAGTGAGGTACAGGCCCTTCTATAGTGATATAGTGACCTTAACCTTCTAGAAAATAGCTGCCCTTTAGCACCAATGCTTAGTTGACAAACTGAGAAGTATTGCCTTACTACTCACCTCCTAAGGTAGTGTTTCACGTTTTTAGTAAGAAGCTGAAGCCTGCAGTGCCTCGAGTTCTGGGAGTGGATTTGAGGATGTCATGAAGCATGTGATGAGTGTATTTGAGGAGTCCTACTTAGAGACGGGGGAAAAAAAGCTTATGCTATGCAAACAAATTGTTGACTGTTGTATATGATAGTTTATCTGAAATTCAAAGCTAAGTGACTTACTTTTTGTTTTATGATTACAGTGTTGTACTGCAGTCAGTTTACTGGATATTCTTTGTTCCATCCATCACTGACAACTCAGAATGCAATAGATGCAAAATTAGCAGGCTGCCCCTGAAGAGGAAATGCTTAGTGGGGAATGTCGAGTTCTCAAACCAAGTGTGGATTGTCTGCTACTACAGTATATGAAAAGGTGGCGGGCAGACAGTAGATTTTGGTGATAAATTTGGTGTTTAGAAGTAATCTTCGAAACATAAGTCGTGTATTACTTCTGTAAGGATTATACATTCCACAAATTTTGTTCATGTTCACTTTTTCTCAGTGGATGACATCTGATCACAAAGCCAGTAATTTTTAATTTATGCATGAAGTAAACTAAGGCAAGATTATATGTGTAATTGTCGTTCTTGTTCACTTTGTATTGAGCGGACAGTGCACATCAAAGGAATAGAAATTCCATTACTGCAAAGTTTTTGGATTATTAAGCATTTGCTTACTAAAAGATGGAAGTAAAGTCTTGTTCTTGGACTGAGGTGATCAATTAGGTGGAATCAGTCTTGTTTTAATATTCTGTGTATTCTCAAATTGAAAAATCGGAATCTCAAAAGTTACTTTTGTGCCTAAGTACTTAAAAACATTTCAGTTTTGATCTGTCTACTACAAAGGTAGCAACAGCCCCTTTTCTGGCTTCAGTAGTATCTCTGGTGAATTTATATGATGTGTTTGGGGTATAAATTTGAAGTATGAGAAGGTATGCATTATTGAATAATAAGTAACAATAATGTTAAAACATCCTTTCAGTTGTCTACTACGAAATTGAAGAAAAAAACACAACAATCTTTTAAAAAAATCTCTTAATTTGCTGTATTCCATAATTTAAGGGATTAGATAGAGCTCTTCTATAAATCTGTTGAGAGCTAATTGTATAGTAGTTTATGTACGTTCTCCCTAGCTGAAGAACAGGGGCACTTGCTGTTCTTGGGCAAGACTTATCTCAGCTTGCACTCATCAGAACTTTCAACAAAGCAGGAAATGTTTGAACACAAATGGGAACATAGTTGACAATTTTTTAATGAGTTACAGGATCTTAATTGATGTAATAATATGCCTCTTCCTAGATTTGCATCTGGGAAATAGGCAAGACATTGTGTATCATTTGTGGTCACTCCTTCTATAGTCCTGTAGAGTTTTCTACTTGCCTGGACTCAAGGTGGAAGAAATAGCCTGGGTTTGACTGAGCGTGCGTTTCTAGGGGGAAGAGGGGAGAAGGGGTGAAGTACCGTAATCACCGTTAAGGAAACAGGAAATTTGGACAAGCAGCTGGCACTGGTAACTTTCTGCTTTAACTGGTCCTTTTAAATGGAAGAGGAGCAGGCAATATGTGAAACTCATGCACAACACTAGGGTTTAATAACAACTTGTCAGAAAGATGTAAGAGGTGTTGGGGATGGGGTGGGACAGGAGGTGCTTTTCCAATGTGTGTATATCTATAGTAGACTTGGTTTATATTGTACTGAAGAGAGAAACACACATTAGTAAAAGTGCATTCAGTCTTAGTATTACCAAGTTGAGAATTTAATTCACTTACAATTATCTTTCCTCCCATATTGCTGTCAGCCTTTCAAAAATGAAGGCGTTGTTACTAAAAAGGATATTATATAAGAACAGTTTCTTAATCACTTTCATAACTTCCACTCTTAAATCACTTATTCATTGTTGCTGGTGTTGGAATTATTGCTTTACTTTAGTTTGCAGGTGTGGTATTACATCATAAAGTGTGTGTGTGTAAACGCAGCTTTTGCTAGATAACACAAAAGAGTTCAGTCTTCATTTAGAACATTCCTGCAAATGAGGAAAAGATTGCTATCTAAATCTACTACCATATTATTTAATGAAGGTGGAGGTACACTCTAAAGATGTAATTAAATTTAATTTGCTGTTAGAGTAATGGTAGATTGTCTTTTATCTGAGACTAGTACTATTGTAGTTCATTCCTAACTATTGTAACTTAGAGCAGTTTCAGGTGGTGGTGGTTTGGGGATCTATTTTGGTAGAGAAAAATAGGCTGTCCTGCAAAAAGGGGGAGAGCAGTCTGAGAAAAATCTGCTGGGAATACTTACTGTCTGGAGTTTGCAAATACAAAAATATTGCACTTTTGGTGAATATTCTGGAAGTTACCTTGAGGAAAAAAACAGTTGCCATACCGAAGTAGTTCAGTTCCCCCCAGAGTATTACTTTCCTAAACATTCTGCGCTCATATTCTCTGCTGGCCCGCTCTTCTCATTAGGTTGTCACTTTCAGTACCCAATTACAGATAAAGAAGCTTTACTGTGTGAACTTAGGCAAAGCTTTGCCCAGAAGGTGAATTTACGCAACAACAAATGAATAGGTTTCCTTTTAAAGCAGTTATCGTAAGGGATAAGATCATAAAGCATGAACACAGTGTCTTTTTTAATAATAGGAGCTTATTGGACTTCTTAAGACAGTATTGAATTTATTGATATTTAGCCTAATTACCATAAACAAAGAAATGAAAAACCCTGTAACAGTTCTGAAGAGAGGCTAAGCTACGAAACTTGTTGAGGTTTTTATTAGAACAATTTGTTCTTAGCTTTTAATTAAAAGAACTAATTAGTTTAATTAAAGTTCTAAAAGTTTAATTACAGTGTTTTGCAACATATATCAGACATCTTCAAAGGGTAGATTCAGACTTGAGGTGCTTCCCTTATAAACTGGTAAGAACTAGCTGTTCAGGAGTATATTGAAAAAGCATAAAGAAATTTGAGGGTTTTTTTAAGTTGCTATTATTCTAGGGAACTTAAACTTTCTAGCCTAAATTCCAGCTTTTTCTAACATTTTAGGTGTTTTGTATTCTAAATTGTGTCATGAACCATTTCTCTTTATGCATAAACTGTCAATGAACTGGAAAATTTTGGATTTTTTTCAGATGTGTATTAGAGCTTATTATTTTTTTTTTTTCTTTTATAGCGCTCTTTCAGCCAGTAGCTGTAGGCTCTCGAGAATTTGAGGATGTTGTGAAGATTCTACATTCATCTTACCTGGAACCAAGTTCAGTGTCCAGTTTTAATTACAAGAGAGCCAGCTTAGTTCATAGTGAACTGTTGGAAAAGGAAGTGAGTATATTTGTGGATTCTCTTTATGAATAAGGTACAAGTCAAATGAAATTTAATGTTTTGTGAGTCTAGAGGCAAAGACCTGGAGATTATTTTCTACTTAGGTGCTTGATATTTAATTGCAAACTCAGATCCCCAAAAACGTAAGCAACTATTTTTCAGGCAAGTTTATTACTGTATAGCCATAAAATCTTGCCTGCCAGATACTCAAAAAAGACTAAAAGAAAAATTATATTTGACACCACTTGTTTCTGTGCACTTTTACTTTTCAAAAACTTTCTTTTATATATTTTTAATAAACTGGAAAGATGTTATAGTGTCTTACTTGAAAGGCCTGATGCTTCCTGTGAAACTTAAGGTTAAACTATTTTTCTGATGTGAAATTTACATAGTCTGTGTAATTTTCTTGTTTTCCAAGAAGTAGTACCTAAAAGAGTTGATTACTTGAACTAGTAAGTGGAGCAGCTTGGCAGAAGCACTTCTGCTGTACCTTATCTGGTGTCTCTTAAATCCCGCCTTGGCTTTCTTTCATAACTATGAAATAAGTTTTCAGTCCCAGTGCCGGAAAGCTTCACGTATGGAGTAATAGAATATATAATTGGCTTGCTATAATTATTGTCTTGAAACTATAAGGTAAACTCTGAAACATTTTTTTTTTTCTGCTACTATAACATTTGTGATTCATGGTTACAGCTAAGGAGAATTGCAGCTGATGAAGACCACCTCGGTAGCAGTGAGGTGCAACTGCAAAAGTACATGCACAATGTAAGAGATAATGGTCTGTCTCCTAAAAAGAGAAAAAGGCTTATTTCTGGAATTTCAAAGATGATATGGAAGGCATTAAACTGGATGCTTCTAGATAGTTAGGCTATGAAGGTAACACTAAAACATTACTGCACAGGTTTGTGTGAAGAGAGTCTCTTCCTTAAAAAACCCAAACAAACAAAGAAATCTTTGGGCAGATTAAGCCAATGATATTTCCCATGAGTATAATGTTTTTTAAACTTAATTTTAGCATACTATAATATCATTCAAATTATGTTTTGATTATTTTTGTACACTTGGATCTGGTAACATAGATGGGGCCTTAAAACATTGGCACTTGAATATGACAGCAGTAATCTGTCTACATGTATTAAGAGCTTTTTGTAATAATAGTTCACAGAAAAACGCAGAGAGCTGAAATTTGATGGTCGCCTAGAAAAGGAGCTTTCTGAAACCTATGCATTTCTGATGGTTGATCGACCTCAGGTAAGAAAACAAAACTGTGTATAAAGTCCTTCCTCTTCTTTTTCAGTTTAAGAGTTGGGGGTGGTTTTTTGTTTTGTTTTGTTTTTTTTTTTTTTAACTGAGTATTTTATTGACACACTTATTAATCTTTAAGTTATTTTTGCAAAATTCAGCACTGGAAGGTGTAGAAGGATGGGAAAGAGATGATACTATATCACCATTTAAATCCTTTATTCTCTGCTATTTCAGGTGCTTCATTTACACATCTCTGGTTTAGGCTCTTTTATTTATAAAAGGATAGGTTTTCTGGATGGCATGTGGGCTTTTATTGGTTTTGTGTTTGGTTTTATTTTATTTGAAAAGGAATGTTACATGTTTTCATTGCAGTTGGTTTTTGGTCTGGGGTTTTTTTTGCGTCAAGAAGATGTTACTTTAAGGAGAAGATAACCTGTACATTAGAAAATAGACCTTACCCTCTGTGTCTCTTCCTTGATCATACATTTTTAATGAAATTGATGGAAAGGGAGTTTCTGTGCTTTTTCTGCTATTATAGAGCCAGGATTCCTTAAGTATTCAATCATTTGGCAGGTTTACTTCTGCTTTGTGTATTAAAAGCAAGTAATGTTCATAAAGTGTGTTTATAGGGAGCCTGTTTTGTTTTGTTTTGTTTTTTTTTTTAATTCAGATATGGGTGAGTCTGTGTAACTGCTTCATGCTGAGCGTTTGACTTGCGTAGTTTAACAGTTTATATAGCAATTCAGACTAGTCTTACCTCTGGGTGGTTTTGTTTTTAAAGGTTTTTGGGGCGGGGTTGTTTTCATTTTGTTATCCTTTTTACCTCAATCAAAATTCTGTAATTGTTGTTTCTCACTGTTTGTTCTGTTCATATTCTGGCTTTCCTGATAGACTTGCTTAAAACAATGTCTGTTCTCTTCAGATCCAAAGCATATGCGAAAAGGGGCTGCAGGTGGGCCACTCCAAAATAACAATTCTCGGCAGCCCTTCCATGGGTAACTATGTTTTGATTATATCTGCTTGTATTATTCAGTATGAGTTGGGAGATAATGTGATGCAGTTGTGTAAACTTTCAGTCCTTTTTCTATCACTTATTGCAGGAACATCACAGCTAGGTACTTTTAGCAAATTAGATTGACATCAGAACATTTCATAACTGTTTTTGACTAGTTCATTTAAATTCTTTTCCCAAAGGGAATACCTAATTCTCACTTTGGCTTAAGTCAAACCAATATATTGTGTCTTTCCAGTAAAACAGGGAGGCCAAAGAACTAATGCAGTCTATGGCCGTGTGCCTCTCTGTGTTTGTACATATATATATATATATATATGCATGTATGTGCATTCAGAAATACCTAATGGAAACAGTAGCTCAGCTTAGTATTGATGTAGATTAGAACTAAAGTCCTTGAATGCACAAATCCAAGAAAAGCGTAGATAAATTGGAGACTTGGAAGAGTCACAAAGTGTCAGGAGGTTTGAAAGTGCAAGGTACAAATTTCCTTTTGCAAAACTTTTCAAATAGAAAATTAAGAAATAATTTTGTCATCCTCCGTAAGAGTAACACGATACAGAGGTGACAATATGAATGTTGAAAGCAGAACAGATGGGGTGGGGGGGGGGTGGGCAGGGAGATCAAAAGTATATGAGCATGTAATTTTTTACTGTTTTAGCCAGTAAAGGTTCTGGAGGAATTCATGAAAGCAGTTAAATACAGACTTGGAATGAGTGGAACCTAAGCAAAATGGATGCTTCTCTGGGTACCTGAGATCAGTTACAGTTATGTGATCTTAGGCAGACAGCTAGACCAACAAATGACAGTGTATGTTTGAGGCCTCAAAATCTGTGAAGTCATGGTTGAAGTGTTGAAAAGAAAGAAATTATTTTACTTTTCCATTTGAGGGTCAATTTTTGATTCCAAAAGAGTATATGTCTGTCAACAGTGTTGGATGAAAGACTGCTGAGGATGCTAGTGTTTTCCTGCCTTATTTCTCAGTCATACCTTCACTGCTTATCTCCACATTGTGCAATGGGACATTGTACAGAAGGACCTCAGCTGTTTGGAGAAAAAAAAAAAAAAAAAACACCTGAAAGCAGTATTTGTATAGCCTTTGGGCAGGGCTTGTCCTCTTGGTCACAACTCTTTCAGTAATGTGGGTGTGCTCCTTTCAAACTGAGCTAGTGTCCATATTCTGCTGTGGTGTTTCACACTGCAGTTGGTGCAGGTAAACATTTATTCTGTTGTCTTGAAGTTGCAATTTGTGAACATACCCTTACCTCCTCCTCTGTTCATATTCCAAAAAGTTTATTGTATCTTTATTGTTTGGTATACATTGAGTTTTAATCCCATGTAATGCTTCTTAAACTTCTAATAATATTTTAACATTCAGCATAATGTGGGTTTGTGTTTTTTTTTTTTAATACTCCTCCCAGGTGTATATATCTCCAGGTATGCTGATTTATTACAGCCTAATCCTCTAGAAGCTGGAGCAACTGGAGATGTGATTGTTTTTAAAATAATAAAGGTAAATTTATCTCGCTTATTCTTGAAGGATTATATTGCTTACTGATAAAATAAAGGTGGTTTTAACCTAACTTACTCAACTTCCATTTACACAATTTACACAATTATCTGCTTATAGAGAAACTAGAGCCCTACCAGATTTTAAAATCTGATGTTGACATTGAGCTTAAATAAAGCATAATAAATGTTTGTAAAAGGCAAAAATGTCTTGTTTTCTTTGAAAGTATGAAAATACTGTACTTCTTTAAGTGGCTTTTTTAATGGGCTGCTTTCATTTCCCTGCTCTTACTTCCTTCGGTACTTGAAGCAATTTGCCAGTTTTCAGGAAAAAACTTATGCTTATAATTCTTCTGCTTTATTACAGGGAAAAATGAAAAGCATATATGACCACATTGGTATGAAAGCAATGGAATCGACTGTAAAGAGTGCATTAGATCCAACACCAAAGCATGAGTGTCACGTTTCAAAGAATGCAAATAAAGTAACCTCCTTGTTGGCTTACCGAGCCTATGAACTTACTCAGGTAGAGGAAAGTTGGGCATGTGTTAACAACTTCTTATGTAAGAACTTTGTAAACAGAACTTTTGAAATGATGGAGATAAAATCATGTAAGATCTAACAAATACTGAGCATGTCCTCTAAAGCTGCAGTCTGGTGTGTGTTTAGCAGTAGCCCACAGATGCCTGTATTAGAAATTACAGAACAACATGTTAGCCTCTCCTGTTTCCCATATATATATACCTGGACCTGATAGAGAAGATCTCCTTCAGATCAGGACGTAGGTGGAATAGGAGATAGCTAGGGAATGTACACAGGAACTGGAATGTAGGCTGGGGAGGAGAGGAGATAGTATGTGGAGTCTGAGGTGTAAAAGTAGAACTGGCTAGTGGGCATTAAGTGAGACTCCTAAAAGGGAAAATAATAGCTAGGAAAACCCAGCATTTTTATTTTCTTTTTTTTTTTTTCCCTTTCTTTCTTTCTTTTATTTCCGTTGCCAGTTTCTCAGGTTTGGAGATGCTGAGGGAGGAGAGAATGGAATCAGTTCCAAGCATTTGTGTTCCTCCAGCTGTTCCATCTCTGTTACTGCAGTAATCTGTTGCAGTCAGATTATTCCATCAAGTCCATAGATTTCAGGATACTTAGTTGAAAGCATTCTCTTCAGTATTACAACTTCTTTTGACTTCCGTAAATCAGAGCTGGACACTGAATAAGATGGCTAGATCCTTCTTGATGCGCTCCTGAAGTAGTGTCCATGCTGTTAGTGCTTGATAAAGGAGGGAGAAGGTGAACAAATTACCTTAATTGATTGTATGATAAAGTACATATGAGAATGGCACTTAAAAGCTTCCTTGTTTTAGGTATCAGCTTTTGAGGAAATAGGCTGTTGGTAAAAGGAATATAATGTGACTTATTATAGTAACTTATAACTTGTTTTATATACCAGTTAATGTTTGGCATAATGGGTTTCAAACAAACTCCCTTTGTTTATTTAAATAATTATTCATGAAGTATATTTTGTAAGCTATTCCTGTGAAACAGAAGTACACCTTTCAGTGAAGAAAGGTCATGAATTGTTAGTATATTTGCAAAATACAGTTTACCAGACTTCTAATTTAACATTGTGTTCACTTCGTTTTCTAGTACTATTTTTATGAATATGGCTTTGATGAGATAAGGCGAAGACCAAGACATGTTTGTCCTTATGCTGTTGTTTCGTTTACTTATAAAGATGAAATGGTGCAAGTACCAAAATTCTTGCCCCCACCGAGGTAAGCTAGGAAATGAGTTCTGGAAAGACTGCATGTAACATGAAGAATTCATAGCCCTTGGGAGCAAGTTAGAATTAATTTAGATGAACAGTGCTGAAATGAATGGACAGGTCAGAGGGACTTAGCATAATAAATACTTCTAAAGCAAAGCAAGAGGTGACAAAAGCCTGTTGTTTAGCCTGGAGAAAAGGAGGCTGAGGGGAGACCTTACCACTCTCTACAACTACCTGAAAGGAGGCTGTAGCGAGGTGGGGGTCGGCTCTTCTCCCAGGCAGCCAGTGACAGGACAAGAGGGCATAGTCTGAAACTGCACCAGGGGAAGTTCAGTCTAGAAATGAGGAGACACTTCTTCACAGAAGGGTTCATTAGGCATTGAAATGGGCTGCCCAGGGAGGTGGGGGAGTCACCATCCCTGGAGTTGTTTTAAGAAAAGATGACGTGGCATTTAGTGCCATGGTGTAGTTGACGTGGTGTTAGGGCAAAGGTTGGACTCAGTGATCCCAGAGGTCTCTTCCAACCTAATCAATTATGTGATTCTGTGAAAACTGGTTTTATGCAGCAGGCTGGTCCCTGTACGAACCAGTTCTGTTGCTATTTTCAGCTACTCACCTTGCGCCTAGGTGGAACCCATGTATAGTGGGTTTTTTTGCTTAACTGAGGAAATTCACATCGTAAAAATGTTCACAGCATTATCTTGCTTGGTATTCTAATAAAATATTCTGTATACTTTGTCACCAAACTCTTCACTGGTGCCATCTTACTGCTTGTGGAGAGAATGTCTAAATAGTCAGTTGATTACAGATACAATATGATAACCTATGCTGATAGGAAGGCATCCAGATGTGAGGACTGTACTATGTAGTGCTTAAAATATTTATCAGGATAGCTAAAATAGCACAAGATGCTGCAGCAGTGATAGCTTGAGGTTAGAGCGCGAATTATCAGTTTTTCTTTTTTGTTAGACTGATGAAGTATCCTTACTGTAAAATTTAGTAGCCACAAGTTTCTGTCTCAATCTGGTAATTCTGTCTTTTTTCATTAGATCAAACAGCTTCAATACAGATAGGAGTACAGGTAAGAATGAATTTAAATTTATTGCTTTTATGATATAGACATGGAAGGTTTTGGACTTTTTTCCCCACGTAGTTTTATTTCTTTAACCAGCTTAGTTATGCTGACTGTATACCTGAGTTTTATCCTGTACCATACTGATTGCAGGCATCTCTTCCTGATATTGGATGATTGAACAGACACCTTAATATTTATCTTGTTTTACTAGAACAAACCAGAACTCGACAAAATCAAAGTCTTTTTTCCCCTCTTTTTCTATGTATAGTGTAGTAAGAATTTATCTTCTGTTCCCAAATCTCCTATTCAGTGGCACTTCAAATAATACGATCCTCTGTCTTGCTTTGCTTTTGGACCTCATTCAGCAAAAATACTAATATGTATGAAAGTGGTTAACAGTTAAGGTAAAGAAAGAGGATATTGTTCCACAGATGTTAGCATCAAGGTGTGCTTATATAGACAGGTACAGATAACATATCAACCGCCTTTACTCAGAGCAGGTCAAAACAAGATAGGATTGTAAACACCCTTTCTGTTACTTTTAACTTATTATTTAACATACTATTGTCTGGTCTGGTATTAGTATGAAATTTTCCTTAAGCTGCTTTTGGAGATTTGGCAGCCTCTTTACTGCCATTTCCTTTCAGTCCCACCTAGTAAGTGGTTTCACTTAGTCTTTCTTTCTCCATCTTAATTTAGATAAGTTTAACTATACATTATGGAGGGGACAGCTTTGGAATAAAGGCAAACTTTTGTGCCATGTTTCCTTGAAATCAGCAGCACGTCCTTTCCTTCCATGCAAGCTGTGAGTATTACCATTTAAACAATAAGTTTTAAATATTGCTGTGTTAAAACTCTTTCTACTAGAGACTGGTGAATTTTGGATGTATTCAGATGAAAATCTAAAGTACGTATTGACTAGGCGCTTTAAATATGTCAAACTAGACTCTTGAGTCGTGTGTGTCTAGAGCTGCTTTTAGTTCATGTACACAACTCTGTCAGCATCTTTTTGTTTGGTGTTTTGTTGGTTGGTTTGTGGTTTTGTGCTCTTTTCTTTTTCTTTCTTTTTTTTTTTTTTTTTTCCTTTGAGGTGACACACAGTCCTTTGCAGGAATAACCACCAGCGGCTCACAAGATACGTCCAAGGAACTGATTTTTAAGAGCATGTATATAGTAGTTCTTATTTGGTGAATGAGGGTAGGACTATGGGTGGGAAAAAGACATCTTTATCTTTTTTTTTTCTCCCTACCCCCACCCTTCATGTCCAGTCCTGAGAAGCTTGAGGTTGAAAAAGTTGTGAGCATTGATCAATTGAAGAAAAAAATTTCACCAGCATTGTTCTATAAAGAAACTTACCTAGGAGCAAAAGAAGGTAAATAGTTCTAGCTTAATTTTTTTAAGTTCAGAATTTTAAAATGTTTTCTGAATTACAATTTTGTTTCTTCTTTTCCTTATCTTCTCTTTATACCCTTGTGTCATATCAGTCTTGAAGAATGGCATGTACTGTAGCCTTTATGAAGTTGTGGAGAAGTCCCGTTCTGGTAGTCACTTGGAGGGTTTACTTCAAAAACTAGAGAAGGAGAAACTTGTGAGTGCAACAGATTTGACTAATCCTGTTTTTAAAAATAATCTTACTAACTAGTAATTATCCATGATCTTGCTGGAATTCCTTAGCTGGCATATTCTTAAGTATTGCATCAGGGCACTTCTCTGCTCATGATGGAATTTAGCTTACAGACAGTGAGAGTATTTGTAGTGAGCAAATGTCTTTGATTGTTTGAAACGGTATACTTTTTTTGCTTGAAAACAGGCCCTGGTGAAACCACTCCTGGACAGAGGATTTCTTTTTCTTCTTTCTCCTTGGCAAATGATGTCTCCTTATGGTATGCGTACTCTGGCTTTTTTTGGTTTTGAGCTGGTTTTCGTTTTTTTTCCATAGTGGTCTCCTCAACTATTTTTATTTTCTTATGTTCTAGACCACCAAACTGGACGGGCCCGCATGCTACATGCATTGTTTCTGTTTCCAGAACCTAGAGGTATAATGAGCTCAAGTAAGTTTGTTCACTGTTGAGAGTGTTGTGTCTGTGCTTATTTGAAAGTCGTTTATAGTCAGTTGAAGACTTTGTGGTGTTACAGCCTGGCAGTGTAAACTAGGAATAACAATTTGCAGTGGTTATGGTCATGGTTCAAAAAGTGTTGATTTCTTCACAAAAGTAATTCTCTCACTACATATTTTAGGTTCAGTTGTTCATATTTGAGAAAGTAAAACTTCGTTCAAATTTCTTGATTGTATATTCTAGTAGAGCTAAGTGGCTAAGTGTCAGTATTCCAAGAGATCTATGCATTAGTCATAACATTGCACTTCAGAGGTTTGAGGGCTTTCTTTAACCATCAAAACATTAAAGACAAAACATCTGAAAGTCTTTAATGTACCGGTAATTATTTTTTTTTTTTTTTTGCATTGGGATATGCAATGAGCAAAGAACACGTTGAACAACCAGGTAATAAAAGATGACCGAAAGGACTTGGCTTTAGAAGAACTGTAATGCTTTGGGATGAGACTTTGAAGTTAATCTTTTACAGCTGAATTTGCAATAAGTAGTACTAGCAGCAGAATGCAGTCCTTTTTGGCCTGCTGTGAGTTAGAAATTATATTGACAAAACATAGCTCTTTCCAGGCATTTAACTTTTACAAAGAAGTACTTGTCCTAAGTCTTGGCAGCTTCCTAGATCCTTACCTCTATATTTCTTATTTTAATAAACCCCTTACATTTTTCTTATTTAAGTAACAATTGTGAAAATTCAGTCAGTTATAGATTGGGTAAGAGGAAATAGGTTATAAGATGACATTTAAAGTGTGTTCGTGGCAGTTCCCTAAAAATACTCCAGTTCTTGCTGCTGTGACATTTCAGAGACTTGCGAACTCCAGTTTCTGTCAAACGCAAGGTTAATCACTGGTTTGAGTCTTCAGGGTGCTTAAATGGTTCAATGGAGAAAACTTTTTTAGTCCTGATTGGAAGGGAGGAAGAGTGTGAATAAATAAATAAAATTAAAAAAGGATGTAACTTGGAGCTTCCTTGAGCTGCTCTTTCAAGTATGTGGTTAAAGGACCTGATAGCTTCCTAAGACAGGGAAATCCTGCTCTTGGCACATACTCCTATTGCATCTCTTTGATTTAGTGAGTTGTATTGCTTTGCAAAGGAATGGAAAAAACTGTACAGGTTTCTGCTGGCTTAGTAAGCTGAATCATTTTATAAGGGTCCAGTGAGCTTCAAAGCAGCACAATGAATGCATTGGGACTGCACAGGAAGGAGTAATGCCTCCCCTGTTTCTTGCAGGGAGCTGTTAGGCTGCTTTTAGTAAACCTTAGTGAGCCTTTGAAGTGGCCTTCTCCTAGAAGGGTCAGTAAAGTGGTTTAAATTGGAAATGATACGTGTATCTAGGATACAAGTTACCACAAAATTACAAAAATGAGCAGTTCATTGTGACTATGAGTAGGTTGACTTTTAAGTAGGCTCTAAAGCTGGTTACTTCACAAAAAAATGACTTTCCTGGCTTTTGGGTTATTTCTCCGCAGTCATTCCGAACTGTGTTTCACCAAATATGTATAATACAGAATATTGCTAACTAGTCATCATTTATTTATAGCTTTATGATTTGATTTTAATTGTCAATTCCCTTTTCTCCTATGGCAGCACAAAAAAGTGTTCCATTTGGAACACAGAAAAATGCAACTACCATGGTTTTGCACGAAAATCAGGAAATCATTCCAGAATTCACAAAGTTTATTCAGTCTCTACATTTTGCTTTAATCCAATCTCGTAAAGACGCTACTGCAGATTTCAATGCTGTTGTGGAAAAGTATATAAATGAGTATTTGAAAAGATGCTGTAGTGGCTCTGGAAAATATAGAGAATTTGTATTATATCGGTATGAATCACGGTTGGATGACAAAAAATTTCTTTATTCTGCTCCAAAAAATAAATCTCATATTGACAGCTCCTTGCAAAACTATATTTTTGGTTGTGAGGCATATCAACTACCTGTTTCTAGAGCTAAGGAATTGATGGAGGGAAATCGGAAACTTCAACAGTTCAGTCCCATCTCAGATTATGAAGCCACAGAAGAAGACTCAGATTTTGCCAACGCAAAAAGTGGGAAAAGAATCCGTGCAAAATATGAAGCTACTGCTGCCAAGCGAAAACTGCCTCATTCTGGAGATTATGATCCTGATAAACTCAAAGAACTTATTAACTTAATCCAGTGTAGGAAAAAAAATGTAGGTGGAGATTCTGATTCCGAAGACCTTAGAAATAAAAGCGGTCTGAAAAGGAAGCTGGATAAACAGTCTGAAAATTTGCGGAAATACTTAAAAATGAGTGAATCTTCGGAGAATAGTTGTCAGTATGAAGGTAAGAAAGTCTTTGTTTAGAGTTCCTCTTTAAACGTTGTAATTCAAAGCATACTTAACATTTTAATCTTTGTAGATTGAATATTTTTTGCATACTGTGGATATTTTAATGCATGGTGATTCATTTAAACATTGGCCTCAGATCTATCAATAGAGATGAAGCTTATTTTTATGAAGGTTGCATCTTTCTAGGAGACAAGTTAACAAGAGTTGTCACAGAAGCTGCTTTTATTCTGCCTCTTTGGAAAGAAGGCAGACTTCCAAAGAGTTTGCTTAGCTGTGGAACTGTCCAAAGACTTTTTAATATAGAGTACTAAACAGACTTGATATCATAATGTCTTTTGCAGAGTTGACTTTAGGCATTGCTGTAATTCTTTATGGCTCCAATACCCTATATAATACCTAATAAATTTAGATTGAAGGGGAGAATTAAACTTCTAAGCATGAGCACAGTTAAGTTTTGAAATAGCCAGTAATGTGTATAGTGGGACAAAGGAAACAACCTAATAGTAGTCAGATTGAATTATTCTGTGCATGAAATTATCTACAGCACTTAAACAATTCCATATTTCCGTATATGATAAATGAGTTAGGGGTTCATCAGATACTTGAAGTAGTTCCTTGGCCAGGCTCTTCCCAAGAATAAAAAAGAGGTGTGGTATTTACTTATCCAAGGGGATAAGCAGAAGAATAATAACCCTGTTCTAAAGTTACATTTAGTATAAATAAGCATGGTAAAGTTTTAGAATTATGCTTAGTCTAAGATAACTTAAGAGGTTAAGCAGTAAAAAACTCATCAGCTTCTGGAACAAAACTGATAGGACGGAGAGGAGTAAATATTTTTCTCAAATGAATCTTTTTCTCTCAACAAGCAATGGAGAATTTTACAAGGTTTCCGTAAAATAAATAAATCATAGTATGTGACTTCTATTAAAACATAAAATAGTGTGGTATTGAGTGACCTAAAAAATAGTCTCCCCCAGATAAATAATTACTATCTACTTTAGAAACTGCCCTATTATCAACATCTACCTGTTTAAAAAATTTTTGTTAATAAATGTATGTGTACTGTATGAATTAATGCTAAAGAGTGAGACTGGGTATGTGGCAGGGTTGGGGCGGGGGGGCGGCTGTATCTGGTTTTGCTTTTATTTCAAAACTTAGTAATGGATTACTTTTCCCCTCCTCCCCCTACTCTAAGGGGGCAGAACCTCGGATTCGCCACACTCTGGTTTTTCAGTTAATACTGGTCTTGTTGGACATGACACTGACTTGAGGCAGCAAGATGTATCCGACCCTGCTGTTACTGACACACATGGCCTCATTAAACTGCTTTTAGAAACACTAGCTAGTGCAGGACACTTGGATTCATCGTTGGCACGGTCTGTAAATCAAGCTTTAGGATTAAGCACTGATGAAATTGAAGAGGAAATGAGACAAAAACATGAATATGAATCCATTCCAGCACAGGACAAAGATGATCATGAGCTTCCTAATACTGCTCAGGCTGAAAATGTTAACTTTAAGGACCCACAGAGCCCAGTGATACTGGAAACTGATGCGGCATGCTTACCCTATCCTGTTGATGTTGATCTACGGCTTTCAGCTAATGAAGTAGGCCTTGAACACACTCTACGCTTAAAAGTAAGTGAAACTGCAATGTAGGTAGATGCTGACAATGAATGTAGTATTTTCATAAATATTATGAGACTGAATGAAAAGAACATTCTGGTTTTTTACATAGATAAGCACTAACTTTTCTGTGAAGCTTTTCTGTTTGGTAGGAGCCTATATGGAGATTTTCTTAACTCTAAGATGTCTATTCCTGGTTCTTTGTCTACTCTTTCTGTAATGGAATTATAATTAAGAATACCTGAAAGATGGAAAGCAGCTATGGTCAGTCTTCCTCAGGAGCTTTACAATAAGTGTCATGCAGCTGCTCCAGGAATAGGCAGCAAAACTTCTGCCGTTCTGTTGCTACGTGCTGTATATAAGGGTGTTTTTTCATGTTTGCTGAGACCAAAGCCTTGCAGTTGTCTTCTCTCTCTTGAAGAAAAAAGATACTATATTCTGGCTTTCACCTTGCTTACGGTGGTGGGGTTTTTTTAGCAATCTGTGAAGTTGTTGCATGGAGTAAGTATGGTGTTACTGTAACAGCTTGCATACTGCCTTCCATCTTCTTCCTCTTTTGGGGGTGATTCTCAGTCTGGCTAGGGTATTGAGCTTTGCTGAAACTGAAACACAGTAAGAAGAGATTTGAGAGTTCCTCATTATAGTTATTGCCTAGCTGTTACTCTTCCCGAAAGTAGGTTATAAGGCAATAGTTGTTGGTCCATATGGACTCTCTTTCAGCAGTGGTTGCAAGGCAAGCCATTAACGATGGTGTACTACTTAGTCTTTAACCTTACAGACCTGATAAGTGCTTTGGCTATGACAACTTGTGACTTTTTTGGCCTGTTCCTTTCTTCTCACAAGCAAGAAAGTGAAAGAAGTCAAATTGCATTTGATTGTTTTTGATATTTAGAGTTGGTTGGAGGTATCTTAAACAAGATTGGTTATCCACAGGCGATCAATAGTTACTTTAGAGAAGCAGAATGAGAGCTGTTTCATTTTAATGACAGCTGGCTGTCTCATCTTGATAGAACAGATTGGCAAAACTAAGTCGAGTGTCTTTGGAAACTAAATATGCTGTATGTGTTCTGAACTATGATCTTAAAAACAAGCAGCAAGCCCCAATGGCAACCTCTTATCTAAGCTGACTGTTTCTGTGTGTGAGTCAGTGACCTTTTCTAGTGACAATACCTCAGAGTTAATAAAGTGATTCTTACTGCTTTACAATCATCAACCATCCTTTTGCTCTAATTGTAGCTACTGCTCCAGTTTTGGGAATTGGTCCAGCCTCTTCAAAGTGTATTCTCTCTCCTCCTTAATAGTAGCAGGCATTTTACAGGGCAGGAAAACACCCCTCACTTGTGTGTGCAAGTGAGGATTCTGCAGTCCTCATCTTTCAGTCTTGTACTGTGGAAAAGATGATGCGCTTGTTTCAGTCAGTGTAGCAGTGTCTGAGTGAGAAAGCATTGAGAAATGTGCATAATGGAAGGTCTTAAATGCTCTGTGGATATTAAAGATGGTTGGGGGAATTGGCTTTATTTAGTTTCCGTGGGAGCAGAGTTGAAAAATTCTGAGCACTTAAACGCATGCCTAGCTATCTTTATATGCCTGCTTGGTGCAGGGGTGTATACGTGTTCCATGCATATTTTTCACAACAGCATACAACTGGCAGAACACCCTTTGAAGAAGGGTCTTGTGCTTAGGGTTCAGAGTGCCCCAGCTCCTTGCTCGGTCACGTTACTCTACAGAGTGGCTGTTCTATGATCTCTGTTATTGCTACTTCTACACAAAGCCCAGTTTCTAAGTCATGGAGCAGGAGGGAGTTTGTCCTGCCTGTAGCCTCTCTGCTGTTTTGCTTCGAACCATCTGGAATGTGAGATAAAATTGGATTGGTCAAGGGCTTAATACTAATTGCAGGCAGTTCCTCAGTTCCAACATCTCATGGCTTCAGTTGGCTATCAAGACAACAACCTGAAAAAGGCTAAGGAGCAGACACTTTTCCTCCCTGCCCC